CAAATATAATTCCCAGGTCATGTTTCCTTTTTTTGCAGCTGTTTTATTTCTGTGGGTTTTTGTTATGTATTGTTTGTGTATATTGGATATTCCCTGGATCTATCCATTTGGACTTTATATGGGTCAATAAATGTCTCTCTTTCGTTTTAGTCTGCCTATGTGTGCTGCATTTGGGTCCCTCTCTTCCACCCTGGACACCACCACAGTTTGAAGACATGCTGTACAAGATGAAACACGAGACAGCGTTTGCGATGAAAAGTGTTTTAGTTAGACACTTTGGTCAGACTTTAATAGCTTTTATCACAGGAAGGAGCCATTAGAAAATAATTTCACTGTAGTCATAAAGGGATGGACACAATCGGCTACATGCTGTGATGTTTAAGTGACGCTCAAGTGGCCAAAAGTGGCCCACGCCATTAGCAGCCTGAACTCTATATGCAAGGCAGGATAGATCCATGCCTTCATGTTGTTTATGTCGAGTTCTTGTCATCCAAGTGTCACAGCAGAAATCGATCAAAGCAGCCAAAATGTTTCCAATCTTCTGTTGTCCGGTTTTGTTCAGCCTGTGTGAATTATACACTCAGTTTCCTGTTCTAAGCTGACTAGAGTGGGCATCCGGTGTGGTCTTGTGCTGCTCTAGACCATCGGCTTCGTGGTTCTATGTCCTGTGGATTCAGAGATGCTCTTCTGCATACTTTGGTTATAACGAGTGATTTTTTTGAGTTACTGTTGCCTTCCTGTCAGTGCAAAGCAGTCTCCCCATTCTCCTCTGACCTTTGACATCAACAAGGCAGTTCCACCCAGTGAACTGCTGCTCAAAGCATATTTTCTCATTTTCTTCTCTGTAAATCATAGAGATAGTTGCATGGGAAAATCCCAGCAGTTTCTGAAATACTCACATCAGCACATCTGGCACCAACAAACATACAATTTTCAAGGTCACTTAATTCACCTTTCTTCCCCATTCTGATGCTCAGTTTGATTTTCAGCTGGTCATCTTGACAATGTCAGCATGCCTAAATGCACTGAGTTGCTGTCATGTGATTGGATGATTCCACTTTTCATTTCAAATAAACTTCCTAAAGAACATGTGATGATTCCACAATAAAGTTGTATTTTAAATTCTTAGCAAATTAATCTCACCACTCCACCAAATATAGCTTTCAGACAAAAAGAAAAAGAGTACAAAAGTTCAAGTTTAAGCTGAGATATGGTTTACTTAATGCTGTGAATAAGGAGAAGAGGGCAAAAAGACAGAATTGCCCCAAAGCGTTTGTCATTATTTCATTGTTTTTTGTGAAAGAAGAGACCATAAGAAGACCAAGTAGGGAAAACTGAATATTTATCCTTGCTTTTGTTGTGCACAGCCCTATTTAAACAAGAACACTTTCCTGTATGATCCTGGAACACCGGCCTGTGTTTATCACAGAGCACAGTATGGACATTGGACTGGACTCCTGGTGTAAAGTGGAAAAAGTAAACACAACAGTAGAGAAAAACAGATGGTAACTCTTAACAGCACTAAATGCTTCCCTCTAACAGTCAGCATTGTTTTATGTTGTAGACTGTTTTCATCATGGACCTACCCCCTCCCATTAAAGTACAGAAGCAGCTGTGTAAGTGAGCCCTCTAAAGGCCAAACCACAGGAAGCGTCTCAAAAAAGTAAAAGTAAAAATACAGATGATTAAAAAAGAAAAGCTCTGAATATTTTCTTCTGTTTATTTGACTGCATCAATCCCAAAAGCATGCAAAACAACTACAGACTGACACTGTGAGCTCCTGCTGCTACAGACAGGACCCCTCAGCACATATCAGTAGCTGCTCATGTTTAATGTCTCCTCACTTTTAAATCCAGCAAAATGAGTTTTCTATAAACCAAGCTCTGGTTTTGCAGCTTCTTAGAAAAAGGACTAAAGCTCAATGAATAATAATGTGCTTGTGGTTTATTGTTGCTACCAGTGACAAGCCTGAAAACCGAGACTTCCGCTGTGGACTTCAAAAATAAAAGCCAGATGAACGGAGTATCACAGTGGGATGCTTGTTGTGTTCTGAATGAGTACATTAATGAGATTTGATACTTCTATGTAAGTCAGACTTAGATCCCATACTTAGATTATCACACTTTACTGTGATTGTGCTCTGAACCACGCTCACCTTTGAACTCCCCCGCTGTTTTGATACCAAATACACATCAATAAGGTTTCATGAGTGCACCTTGCACAGTTCCGAGTGATTGTTTTGACGCAGACAGACTCAGACTGATAAGCTCAACTATCTCACCTAATGAATAGGCTAACAGGTTTATTTATAAAAAAAATCATAAATAAACACAAATGGGCTTTGTGTTGATCTTGTAAATGCACACCGGATGAAGGTTACTTTATATGGCGTCTTTCAAACAAAAATAATAGAACTTCCTTCCTTTCTATGCTTCAGATAACACCCGCGGTCAAACTTTATTTTGATATCTACTGCACACATGTGAAGTTTGATAAGTGCATGTTGCACACATGCTATTGTGGTGATGTAATTAGTCCATGTAGAGACAAGCATACCTTCCAAAGTATTTGGAGCCTCTGTGGTAAATCGTATTGCACAGGGTGTCACCAGGATTACAAGTTGTGAAGATGTGAGGCCTGCATATGCTCCAAAAGGGCTTAAAGGAACATGTCATTGTGTTAGCAAGTTTTAGTTCTGTGGTCAGATTTTGCATACTTAATTGGTTTTATTGACAGTTGAGTAATTGTTTTGTTAAAGCAGTTCATTTAATGCTGTTTATGAAAGTGTGCATGGGCTCATGCATCATTCAGAGGCAGTAATAATCACACAACTCAAGCGGGGAATAATCACATAAACAAGTTGTTTGGTTTTTTGATTCTATTGTTTCATTTTTCGTTATTGTATGTGATGTTGCTGCTTTCAGTATCCCTGCAGCTGTGGTACACAGTGAAGACTAAGGTTCTCAGAACAACTGAGACTTAAACATCAAAAATTGGAAATGCAAACCAACACAGTTCATTTATTTGATTATATATTTACTGTTTTTTTATTAGCACACTAGACAAGGTTGATTTCATAGTGTGTGTGTGTGTGTGTGTGGGGGGGGGGGGGGGGGGGTATTGTTATTAAGCATTTTGTATATTTCTTATTTTGCGCGTTTGTTGGCCTCATTGAATGTTGATATAATAATAATAATGGATTGGATTTATATAGCGCTTTTCAAGGCACCCAAAGCGCTTTACAATGCCACTATTCATTCACTCTCACATTCACACACTGGTGGAGGCAAGCTACGGTTGTAGCCACAGCTGCCCTGGGGCAGACTGACAGAAGTGAGGCTGCCATATCGCGCAACAGGGGTGTTTCCAGGAATCGTTAATGGGGTGGAACAGGATAGAAGAATAACAGGGCAGGTTGGGTGGAAGAGGGGAGGCTGGAAATCAGAATATTTGATCAGAAGTAAATACAATTTGAGGCTGGTGTAGCTCTATGCCCTAATATAAATGATGTTATATGACAGACTCTTTGTGTAAGCGAATATCATGTTTCATATTTCTTAGCCTAAAGATGTATTCATGTTAGCCACAAAGTGAAATTTGCACTGGATGGTGTGAATAGACACTAATCTGCATTAAAGGTATTTCAACTTTGCAAAAACCCATGAGCGGGGATTCTCCTGACACTGCCGACAGTCAGAAATGAATGATGAGCTTACTGAAGTCATTTGAGGGAAGCTGGAGTTTAATAGTTCAACTTTACTCTTAGATAAAGACCGATGGGGGAAAAGGAGAGGGTGTGGGAAAAGCTACTGATTGTACTCCTCCTTATCCCCTTGACTTTTGGGGTTTTTCCACTGTGACTGTGCAGCGAGGCATCAAAGTGCACTTAATGGAAAATGAAGATTATACAGAATCGTCCTTCTTCAGAATCATTATCATTTTTAAAAATAATAGTTATTAGTCGTTTCCTTATTTTTTATTAATGTGTTTATCACTTTGATCTCCAAATCCCTCCCAAATTACTGAACTTCTTCCACAATCTCATTCTTTCAGCCACTACCCAGACCTCGTGATTGTAGATATCATGATTACATTAGACAACAGGTCTTATCTATGTTTAGCACTGCAAGATTAACAAGCAGTCATTTCTTTTGAGGGGGGGGGGGGGGCAGATGTCACCCTATGCCCCCCTCTGGACATGCCCCTGAAAATAAATTCCAGTAAGAGTTAGTCAGAAGCCTGCGAACTGTTACCATGTCATCCTAATAGAGCACTTTGCTCTCAGACTGCAGGTTTAATTGTGGTTCCAAGGATATTTAAAAGTAGAATGAGAGGCAGAGCCGTCGGGTTTCAGGCTACACTTCTGTGGAACCAGCTCCCAGTTTGGATTCAGGAGACAGGCACTCTTTTGGATCAGGTGACCCTGAATCCCCCCTTAGTTATGCTGCAATAGTCCTAGGCTGCTGGGGGCTTCCCATACACTAAGTATTTCTTCTTCACTCATCTTTTTCACTCATTATGTACTCACACTCCATTTTGCATTTAATCATTAGTTACTACTAATCTCTGACGCTCTTCCATAGTATTTAGTCTTTTGTCCCGTCTTCCTCCGCTCGCTCTCAGAAGATGGTTGCAGATGACTGTTCCTCCATGAGCCTGGTTTCTTTCTTTTAAAGGGGAGTTTTTTTTTAATTCCCAATGTCATCAAGTGCTTGCCCAGGGAGGTTGTTTTAATTTTGGGGTTTACCCTGTATTATTGCAGGGTCTTTACCTTACTCTACACCACTTGAGGAGACTGCTGTTGTGATTTGTGGCTATATTATTAATAAATGAACTTAACAAAAAAAAATGAGAAGACACGAAATGGAAACTCATCAATGGGTATATATATATATATATATATATATATATATATATATATATATATATATATATATATATATATACAAAGCCTTAGATAGTGTGCTTTTATTTTGATAATCACAAAGTAATTCCGCTCTCACACCCGACTCTCCGGCGTTTCTGCGCGCGCGTGTTCGCGAGGGAACATACTGTGTGTGTGCGTTCGATCACGCCACTGGGGATTCCCCCGCGTGACAAAAACAGCTTTGCCTTTCACATGTCAGCTCTTCCCCTTCTCGCCTTTCATTGCTCATATGCTCTCCGCCTGGAGCTCACGCATTTACCGGATATTTAGTCGACGGGTAGTCGTTAGTGTCTCGTTTCACTCGTTTTAAACCCGATACACCATGTTTTCGAAACTTTTTAAAACGCGTTAAATCGGTAAAAAGTGAACGCCTCTTCCTACACAGAGGGCACAGTGTTGTCGGTTAATGGCATGATACGCAGCGGCTCGTTCCTCTGGTTTCACGAAGACGGTGCGGCGGTTATCACAGGTGTCACCGGGCTGTCCGGTCACATCACCGAGCACCGAGCGGCTACAGCGCCCGCAGGAAGCCTTTAAATCCTCGGGGAAGGCGGGAGGGGGAAACCCAGCGAGGCCACCATCATCATCACCACAGCAGCACTACCATGGCGAGCCATGACTGTACTAAAGAACACTTGCCGGAGGATAACCGCACAGACTCAGGCATTGATTCGTACCGCTCCATAGTGAAGTCGGAGGAGCCCCGGGGGCCGAGCAATGACCTCAGCGGGCCGAGGGACAAGTTCTCCGGCGGGGAGGAATGGCTGGACTCAGCCTACGGTTCCTCGTCTCTCACGGTAGAGAGCCTGTCGGATATAGTGGAGGGCTGCACGATTTCCAGCAGCAACCAGCAAGTACAGAGCTCTGAACTCTCTGAGCAGGAGCAGGAGGAGAACTTGCTTACAACTATTACAGAGGATGGAGACACGTAGGTTTTTAATTGTTATTCATTTAATTTCCATCAAAAATAAAAAATTCTTGCTCATCTTGCTAGAATATTTGCTGAAAGGAATGCTGCTGCACACTGGTGGGTGAATACAAACCTTTTTGCATTTTAACTGTTTCTCTCTTAGAGGTTTCACCAGCTTTTTTGGCACCCGTGATTTTTATCCTTAGTTGATATGGTTGGCAATATCCTACAGTTAGTTTGCAAAGCTCTTTATGATTATCATTTCCATTATCTAGTGATTTGTACATTAATGCCACCACATTAGTTTTAATTGGATCACTGCCTGATATGTAGTGATGGGGATTTATTAGACAATGTACGATTCAAAATGATTTAAAACAAGAAAAAAAGTATATATTTTTTTATAATTGGTGACCTGTAATTAGAAATCTTTTTGTGTATTTGTTCTAAATATTGCACAGAATAATTTAAAGGTTACCAGAATAGTTGCTGGTTTAATTTTGAGCAGGGTAGTAGCTTCTCACTTTTTTTTTTTTTCTTCTTCTTCTTTTTTTTTTTTTTTTTAAAGTCTGCTGTAAGCTGATGAACTTAAAATCGTCATGAATGGCATTTCTACTGCAGCTGGAGTCTGTAAATCACATTAAATTTCAGGCACAGTTTTTCCCATGGCGATACAGGTTTTAAAGGGGATTTCATAAGAGTGTGATACTGCAGACTTTTATAATGAACTTTGTCCTTGTCGCATATGTGACCGGTCTCCATTGAGTTGTCGACTCTCAGTCAGAAAACAGAAGTGAAACAGATAGGTCTGGACTTCCCCCATGCAGCACAGACAAAGCACATGCTGTGAGGTAGCTGTGTGGCCCGCTTTTCATCCAAGAAACTTGTTGATCAGGACAGGACAGTGTGTACGCATGTTTTCATCCCTCACAGGCTTCTTTCTTTCCCCCTTGCTTTTTTTTTTTTTTTTTTTTTTTTTACTTTCTTCCCCCTTCCTTCTTCCAGACAGCTAAAAAAATCATTTGCAACTGAGCGGCTTTTCGCTGCTCTTCATTTCTCAATTTGAGTCAGTGAAACTTTTGCACACAATCTAAACACCTCAACCTCCACACACACACACACAATCTTATCAGCCCATGCAGACCTTCTTGTTTCTTATGTGACCCACTCATCTAGAGTTGCAGCGTCATCAACCAGCAGACCGATTTAATGAATCCTGCAGCCACGACCAGCCGGTGTGATCCTGATGTAGTCACATCACACTGCACAAGTGTTGTTGTGTCTCTGACCTCTTTTCATTTCCGCTTGCTGATTGTTGGGGCCACATGGTTTCATTCTCACACCCTAACTATAGATACCTGGTGGAGGGGGAAAAAAACACCTGAAACACACCACAGTGCATTGCTTCGACTGACAGAATCATGCAAACACTAATTTTCCCCTGTGGGATTTTTTTTTAAAGTTCTTATTCATTCAAGTCTTACTCAAACCAGGAAGTCCCTTTCACACAAAGACATTTGCTGACAGGTTTATGTCAGTGCAGCTCCATCAGTCTGCAGACGTAGCTGACATTTAAGCATCACAAAAATGTAATGTGGCTTCTCGTGCAGTATCCTCTCATCTTAACCATTACTGGGGTACTCGAGCGATGGATTAACACTCACAAGCAGCTTTGTATTTTTACATTTATTTTCATTTTCTCTACAGTTTTTGGGAATTTTACATTCCTAGAAATGCACAAGGAATCATGCACTTTGTCACCTGCAGCCTTCCTAATTTACTCACAGTGAGAAATGCCCCACATCTGTTTCCTCATTGCTTCTTCTCAAACAGCCCAAAGATATTTAATTCAGTGGGGAAAAAAAGCCAACTTATATGCTTAATCGGTGTTGATAATAGTAAAGTAGTAATACGTTTTATGTATTTATGGCAGTAACTACAAGAAATGCTTTTTTCCCCTTGTTTTGTGCCAAAAATAAGCGTAAAATATTGTCACCTTTTTAAAATAAACCTTATGCAGGTACTTTATCTTTTTTTTTTCTTTGTTTCTCAGTGTCAGTAGCTGCAAACAAAATGTTCAGTTGCATGATTAATCCTTATAGATTTCAATAACTGATCACTTTAAAAAAGCAGCTGTATTATCGCTACCGCTGCACATTAGTTTTTGAAACGCTGATATTTTAAATTTGTGACTAAATAAAACTGAATTCTTTTTTTCCCCCCTTTGGTGTGGGTCTTTTGAAATAAAGTAACCCCATTTACCATTTAACAAATCGATAAATGCCACGTTGTTTACTACTTTGTATAATTAGACATGTGGCACTGTAAGTGTTCAAAGCTGAGTGTACAGCGAGACGTCGTGGGAACTTTTGATCCCACTCTGTCTGCGTCTGAAGCAGCCCGCGGCGTCCATCTTTGGGTTAAATGACATTTACTCTGAAAGCAGAACGTCTCGCTGCTAAACTAACAGAGAAGTAACTGCTGCGGCGAATCGTGCAGCAGTAAAACATCAACGCTTCAAGCCCGTAAGATAAAACCTGATGTCCGCAGAATTTGGACTCAGCAGTGAGTTTAAAGAACTTGAAGCCTCAAACTTTGATTTTAATCTGTTAAGATCCCTTTTCCAGATGGGGCCCTCGCTATGTTGCTGTTGAGTCTAAATTAAGCACTAATGCTCAGTTCCATTTCCTGCTTTGCGCACACATTTGTTTGCTACAACTTCCCACTGTGTTTTTTTTGGGTGGCGTGCTTTTTGTTTTGTTTTGTCTTTTGCTGTAAGCGTTTAAACTGAAGCCTGTGCGATTATATCTGCTCACAGATGTTTGATTTTTTTTTTTTTTTTTTTTTTTTTTTTTTTTAAAACCACCAGCACCTTGCTGTGCTGTCTAGAATTTTTTTGTATTGCTCAATACCCCAACGACTCAGTCTTGCCATTCAGCCCACTAAGTGTTACATTTCGAGGTAGTCTCTTGAAATGAATACCGAGGAAAATTGTTAGGCAACATTTGTTGAAATTCACAGCACTGCTTTTTTTTTTTTGAGGGGGGGTAAGTTGCTCAATTTGAGATAAAGTAGGGCTGCAGATTTTTCCAGACGTAACGGTTAATGTTCATCTTCTCTTTTTCTTTCTCACTCCCGTAGAATCCTGCACTTAGCAATTATCCACGAAATATCACCACTTGCTAAGGAGTTGATACAGATATTCCCAACAGAAGTCCTGGACATCCAAAATAATTTATATCAGGTAGGTACAACAGGTCCTACAAGTTGCTTCTGCTGGAATTTTTTAATCCACAAATACTTCCTCATCTGCACCTTGATTGTGGAAGCGGTGGCTTTATTTATATCTCTGTACTTCCAGAGAACTCTTGTTCCTCTTTATTTGCAGTCCGTCCTCACTCGGGACGTCACTGTGGGTGGTTCCAGTGTTAACTCATAAGGGACTTTGAATGGAAACTCCCCTCCTCTACTTCATGTAGAAATAGAACCACAGGGAGCTGTGGAGTGTATCCTTGTGTGGATGTGGGTGGAGGAGTTGTTCCAGTCCTTCAAGAAGTCCGACCAGAGACTTAACTTGAACTTGCAGAACTGTCAAAAGGAAACATATGAAGTTGAGACTCAGCACTTCACGTAGTGACTCAGTTAGCTCTGTGCTGGGCTCTTTTGGTTTCCTAATTTCCTCTTAGTAGTCATTCTAAGATTTCACATTTGGACACATTACCAAGAAGAAATTTGTTTGCAACCCAGGGGGTTTAAAATAAAAATGCATCTTCATTTCTGAAGGAAAAGGAAAACAAATGGATTAGGGATTTTTGCCATATTTTAACACGTGGTCCTGTGAGTACAGTCTCGCAGCAAAATTCTGATAACAAAAAAAATTGCAAAACACATAAAAAAAAAAAAAGGGAGGGAGAGACAGCACTATCATACTCTACACCTACAGCAGTCTCAGTAAACCACAGTGCAGAGTAACCGCATCACTTGTTGTGGATTAAAGATAAAACTCAATTTCTCGGAAAGGGTTTTCCTCACTTGTACCTGAATGCAGCAGGTACAGGCCTGCGCTCTGGGGATTTTCAAAGGGAACCATTAGACTTTTACCTATTTCCTCTCATATTTATACCACTTCAGTAATGGGTGCTCACATTAAACATGGCAAAAGTTTGGTATAATGAGGTCGGTAATCTCAATGAGCCGAAATTTTAGTGAAGCTTTGGATTACTCTAACGCTCAGAATCATCATTCATGCTAAGCTACTCTACTAGAGTCCAAAAATAATAATGAGGAGTTAGAAATGAGGATAAGAGCATTCTTGGAAATACAGGGAAGCTGCAGCTGTGAAGGAGAAGTGACAGGGTATAAGGACAACAGCTGAAGAAATATATAAGACCACCATCAACCTGTTATTGTCAGTATGTTTGATGAATCAATGGACAGCTAGTATTTTTTTTGTGTCTTTGCTTAATATCAACTCAACATTTTAGTAGATTATTTAACATCTCAACTTAAATATGAACTTCTGACGTGTTTTTGTTTATATTGACCAGAGACACACAGGTAAAGTTTTTGTTTTGTTCCTCAGAGCCCTTTGCACCTCGCCACCTACCTAAACCTGAGAGAGGTGGTGCAGTGTCTGATGGAGAAACAGGTCAGCATAGAGCTGCAGGACCAGGACGGGAACACGGCGCTCCACGTGGCCTGCCAGCACGGGCAGTTAGAGTGTGCAACCGAGATGACCAAAGACGTTTCTCCCAGCAAGTTGGCTCCGGTCCTCGAGACCCAGAACTGGAGAGGTGAGGGGAAAACAGTCATGGCTGCTACTAAATCTGTTTATGCGAGTTTTTATGCATTAAAGTCAAAAGTTGTTTTTGTTTTACATTTTAATGTCGCAGAAATATTTAACTAGCTTGTCTTTCCCTGATGTCCTCCTAAAAGATACATGAGGATTTTCTTGGACAGTAGCAGAAGAAATAACGCCCACATTTAGCATTGATGTAGAACATGTTTTGTGTTGTATCGATACAGTGTTGGTCTGTATTCTGCTTGAAGTTTGTAAAAACTGTTTGACCTAAAAGTGAGCTCACATTGCAGATTTCAGACAACATTTGTAATTTCAGGTCTTGGCTGTCTTCACTTGGCTGCACTGAACAGGCAACATGAAATTATGAAGCTCCTGATCAAAAAGGGCGCAGATCTGAATATACAGGTTAGTCTGTGGATTCCCCCCCCCCCCAAGTCAATGCACCATATGAGCTGTATTTGTGTAATTAAGTTTTGCATAAAGGCAGAATTCACACTAAACAGAAAGCCTTTTTTGCACTCGTGTAATTCAGCCTGAAATGATCACAAACAGTGCAGCTCCACTTGCAGACTTCAACTCATAACAAGGAAAAGGTTGAAGGACCGGATGAAGAGTTTGTTTTTGTGGAAGCAAAGCTGCAGTCTTTATTTATTTTTTTCCCCTAAGAGGGCTTTCCGTACTTGTTTAATCCAGTCATATGTCTGCATTTATAATCACATACGTCCTGTTTAAACTGTGTTTACCACATCGGGACCTTATGTTGTGTTCCTATCATAAATCAGCTGCACCTGTGCAATGCTGATAGTGATATGAGCTGAGCTCGGGGCTTCCTGCAGGATTCAGTGAGACATAATTAGATTTGAGATATGATTAGGTCAGACTAGCCGGCCGCTCTTAACTTTCTATTGATGGTAGGGAACGTGGCAGTCCCGAAACCACCCCAGACATTCCTCTTAGTTTAAATCAGTGGCCTAACATATCAGTCTGCCTCACGTCCGATGTATTGAATTATTCATTATTCTAATTAGAATGTACTTTGACCTTTTTACTAGCTGATTTCAAGAATGTGGAATTGCAAAAATAAAACTGTGAAACTGTTTAAATTTCATAATGAATTTCTGCCCTTTTTGTGGAATTTCTCATCGCTTTTCTTCGTCCGCTCCCCTCGTAGGAAGGAACCAGCGGCAAAACGCCTCTTCACCTCGCTGTGGAGCTGCATGACATCACATCTGTGAAGCTGCTGCTCGGCAGCCGAGCCAACGTGGACGCTGCAATGTTTAATGGCTGCACACCCCTGCATCTTGCGGTGGGGAGACAGGACGCCACCATCGCCACCATCCTCTGTCAGAATGGCGCCGACAAAATGCTGCGAAACATGGAGGACGAGACGGCGTTGGATTTGGCTGACGGCAATGATGATGTAAGCAAATATTAAGGGTTGAAATGCACTGTTGTACATAGTTTAAATAATAAGACTTAAATCCTGTTTTAAAAAAAACCCCCACAAAACAAAACCAGCAATATGTATGTTTTGCAGACTTTCAGTGGTAACTGTGCACTAACTCAACGCACAAACCTAATCTGTCAAGCCTCCTCCTACTGCCTGACTGAACTCATTCTTCGTTTACTCTTTAAGTGGTTTAACATCACTAACCTACCAGTTCAGAATAACCTACCAAAGCATACAAGCAGGGGACCTGGTACTCTTTTAAAAAGCAGAGTAGTCACAGCAGAAGTGGATTTGGTTCATTTGTTTTCATTTATTTTACTCCAGTTTGTATGAAGCTCACAGACAAACACTATTCATGGTTTCAATTTTGACCTCTTGTGCTCTAAATGCTCTGCTTAGTTCTGGGTTTCCTAGAAAGACATTTAGATAAGGGATAAGTCATCTGTACGGCAGCGCTTGTATAAATGCTGTTCTCTGGTATTTTTTCTAATCATTATTTAAGGATCAGTAAAGTTTGACCTGCTTCTTGTTCTTGTCTTTCAGATTCTGGCTCTATTTCCTTTTGATGACATCCAGATCTCTGGAAGGTCGTTGGTTGGCGTGAAGTTTTGAGCTGAGTCACGGGCTGAACAACAGTCCTCTAATTGTCTGGAGCCTCACTGCAGCTCATATAAATAAAAATTTTAAAAACCTATATTTTGAGCTAACATTGTTGATTAGTATACATATGCTTAGACAAGTATGTGCACAGTATAAATCTCACTTCGCTCTGATTAAACAGAGTAGTACCGCTTAATTGAAAGATTTTACAAGCTTGGTTATGTTGCTTCTTCCTGCATGCCTCTGGAGATGGTTGTACTCAGCTGTAAAACCCCACCTCACTGTGAGTACCAGACTGTCTCTAAACCTGTTCAGTGCCCACAAAAAAAATCTACCTCTTTATCATTTTGACCTGGTTTCAGTGGCTACAAATAGAGTATGCAAAATGCATAGTTTCGGTTTCTCAAACTTTATCAGTGACTTTGCATTGAAATTGAAGTAAGTTTTAATTTTTTTAAATTTTGTTTTTAACTCTGAAAATGTGGCCTTTCACTGTAGTGCATAAAAGAGATTTTTGGAAGAATGCAATCAGAGGTGTGAACAGATATTTAAAAAAATGTAAATCCTGCAAAAAACAAACTATTCTCATCTCTGCTTTTGCTAAAAAAAAAGTGACAAGTGGTTAAAAATGTAATGTATATAACAGGAAATGCAGCTTGATCTTTTTGATTTGTAGTTTTTGTTTTTTGCTTGGAATAGTGAAACTATTTATCTCAACCTAGCTTTCATCAGCAGAAACTGTTCTTTGTGTAATTACACTGGCCTGTCTAGTTAAGAGTTCATTTATTTTGTAATAAAAAGACAGGAAATTCATGAATGTTGTCTTTTTTAATTGCAAAAACAGTCATGGTAAAGTACGTGTTTAATTTTGAAGGTTTTACATATCAGCACTTAATAAAAAAAATTATCAGATCTTAAAATTAGCTGAATACAGCTTCAGATAAACTACAAAATGTGGCACGGTTTCATTATTTATGTGTGGAAAAACTAAGTACAGTCTGACGTCTTTAGGAACTAAATAGATAAACAGCAGCCAATCAAGTAGCACGGGCAAGTGTAAGCACCTCTATGAAAATAGAAGCTTTGGTAATTTGCTGCTCTGAAACCTTAGGGTGTGTGTTAACATGATGACAGAGGAGGACAAATCTGGGAAGGATTATACAGCCATTTCTTCACAACTGTGCAGACCAGCTGTCAAGCACAGTGGTGGAGGAGTCATGATTTGAGTTTGTTTTGCACTCACTGAGTCACTTGTAAAATCCTCTGTTTACCAAAGTATTCTAGAGCCGAACATGACACCATCTTTTCAGCGGTTAAAGCTTATTCAGGACAATGATCTCAAGCGCAGCAGCAAATCTACAACAGAAAAGAATCAAGGGAGTGCAATGGCTGAGTCAAAGTCCAGACCTGAACCTGCCAAATGCCTAGGCGGGGCCTAAACGAATCCCCACAGACCTCCTGAGGCAACGTTGTAAAAAGGGAGAGGCAAAATTCCTCCGTAACGATGTGAGCGGGTGATAGTGAAATAGAAACAAAAATGCTTCTACAAGTTATGGAATCATGGGGAATACCGAATTTCTCACATGCTGCCAGTATGCCACGTGTTGCTGTTCATCTGAGGCTGTTTACCTAATTTAAAACCTGATTAAAAACTGGATTTTTTAAAATCTCCTCATATGTAAAACCGTAGAATTGAAAGAGGGTGTCCTATCTTACTCAAGCATGCATCTCTATCTAATGTGTGCACGTGCACAAGCCTGACACTGTTTACCAACGGTCTTACATGTGCAATTCCAAGTTGTTGAAAGCCTCAAAAGAAGGTGTTTCAAATACGCACAGAGACAGGTGATGCAGATATATTTTAGCTTCCACTTAAATGAAAGTAAAGATGAGATGATTAAATGTTATGTTGTACAGGAATGCTCCTAACAGCAAAAAATCAGCTGACTGGAAACATGGTTTATTTTTGTTTTCCTGTAAGTGGCTTCTTCCTTGTGGGTCTTACAGTACAATGACCGGTGGAACTGTGGAAATTCCAGTTGGTTGGATTTCTATTATAAACACATTACCCACCGCAGAACAGGTTCACTTCATGTTCATACAGGTATATTGACCTGACTAACTACCTGGCAATTACAAAATTACTTTCCTTTGACCAGGTAAACATGACAGCAGAAGCAGTAGCTGCAGATTTGTCTTTATCTATTTCCTGGTCAAATTAGCTGTATGGTTGCAAAGCACAACTCAAGTTTTATATTGAATATAACAGTTAATTTTATGGGATTTTCTCATCTTTCATTATCACATGTGCACAAACAAAACTTATGGCAACAGCTACCAAACCGACATAACTCTGTGGTCAGTAGCTAGAACAGAGTTATGAAACTATACCAGTCTACTTCTCCATTCAAGTGTAATCTGGAAAACTGATACTGTTGTGTTATGTACAGTAAAGACCATGCTAGTGCTGCAAAAGGTTTTAAAAATGGTGTGTTCAAGTCATGTATTCCGCTCTGTGCGATCCTTCTCAATCAACATCTATGATGATAGTATGCGTAATACACTCAGCAGGTCAATTATCTCATCAGGTCTGACTAATACTCCTGGAAATAACATTTCTTTCTAATGGAATGCCGGAATTTCCATTCTTGCAGACATCCACCTACGTGGACATAGCCTACGTGGGATATTATTCAGATAAATATATCAGCTGCTATTATGTGATATCTTGAAATACGGTTTCGCTGTAATATCTTGGTTTAGTTAATGATTAGCTGCTGTATTGAATTTGTTTTTATGACGGAATGTCTCTCTTCACTTTTGCAGTCAGAAGGAAACAAAGACGAGACAAACGTTGGAGGAATTACTACTGAGGTGTAGTGGAACGAGGGCACACATTCCCCTGCGTGAAAATAAAAGGAATTCCTTACTGGTGACCTGTTTTAGAAGTGAGTCAGGGGTACGGCAGGCACTGTGGCGTCGTTGAAGAAGCAGCTCAGATGTGTTTATCAGCAACAATGACAGCAGCCTATTTCGATGCTCACTCACTGGCATGAAGGAAGTGCTTTACTGTGCACGTGTTTATGAAGTAGGATTCATTTGAAATGCCTCATGCATAAGGCTTTCCAGCACAGCTTAACCTTCTTCAGAGATGCATAGAGTGGATGTCTTGGTTGTCTGGGCCTTGTTTACTGTCTTTTATACTGGAACTCTTCAAAAACTATATATATCTTTACATTTTAATCATTTTTTCTTATATATACATATAAAAACGGTATGTCACGTCTTATATGCGATGCTTCATGTTTCCAAGAAACGGCAGAAATGAGTCATTACATGTAAAGAAGAGAAGATCTGTTTGCTGCTTTTGCATTTATTTGTATTTACTTACATATCAATAAAAATAAGGAATGTCATCCAGACAGTCATCTCTATGAGCAGGGGGGGAAAAGCCAAATTAAGAAACACAACAACAGCTTAAAAGTTTAGACTATGAAGATTTTCAGACACTGAGCAGTGGGAAGCACTGGCATCAAAGTAAAGACCTGTATCTTTACATTTTAATCTTTTTTCCCCCTGTTTGTTTGTTTGATTCATTTTCAAAGATCTGAATCTTTGAATTGTTAATTTTCTTATGTTATGCATTTACATTTACACCACAAATATGATATGTTTTGGTCCAAATTTAGGTATTTCTTTAACTAGAGCAGATAATTATTTCAGGCTCATGTGCCATCTTATAGATATGGTATATTTATACTTTAAAATGTGACAAATAGTATGTATGTCAAGCTTTAAAATGAATAACACGGAGTATAGAGTAGAATACTTCCAAACTATAGCTTCCACCATCTGGTGTAAAATCTTGGCCCAAAGAAGATTTCAATATTAGATTGGTTGAGAAACTTGTGCTACTGTTGGCCAAAGAGGAGAGGGGGAAAGAAAGGCAAGAGTGTGGAAGTGAGTTTAATTACTTCTGGAGTTAACCATCCAAAGCAAAGGACAATGCACAAGAGAAGTGCAGGAGAGAGTGCAAGCAAGGTGGAGTGAGTGTAAATGAGTGTCAGGGCTGAGGATTGGCTCAGGATAAGTGTCAGCAGCAATAGTATGAAAGTTTACAAGACGATGATGTAGACAGCAGCACTGATAAAAAGAAGGCTGAGCTGGAAGTGGCAGAGCTGAAGATGGGTGTAACCAGGATGGACAGGATTAGAAATGAGTAGATCAGACTGACAGCTTAGGTTGGGCCTTTTGGAGACAAAGAGAGGCGAGGCTCAGGTGGTTTGGACATGTGCGCAGGAGAGATGGTGGATATACTGGACAAAAGATCACCATGGTGAAAATTCATGGCATTCCAATCACAATAGTTGATCACAGGGCTATGGTGGGCCCACTCAGTGCCCTGCTGTCTGTGCACGTCATAGCCCAACAGCTCTGCAGTTCCTCCTCCACACCGACAGGGGTCAGGGCCGCCGGGAGGGCGCCGTTATCTCTCGCCAGCATCCTGTGGTGATGCTGCTGAGTAAAGAGGAGGTGGCCTTTCCTGCTAAAGTGAACACATCGGCTATTGAGGAAAAGTCGAAGACCTCTGATCTAAAGGCGACTAGCCTGAAAGAAAACAGCATCTCATTATTTAGTCATTTTTCACCTGGCGGACCCACGGGGCTTCATGGTGTGTCACAGCGGGGACGCTTGAGTCTGTCGGCGTGTGTGCTACGCCGGGTGTCGGCCACGGAGTGCAGGGAAAATGCCTTCTTTCTCACGGAGGTAATATTTTTCAGACAGAAGTGTAGCTAACTGGGAAAATGTGTCACGCTGAAGATGAGTTTGAGGTATGGGCTCATTCAGCTCACGGTGAACCTTTCTGTGATGCAGCCTTACGGGGGCAGATTTTTGAAGCTGTAAGCAGCCTACGGAACTGGTATTAGCTTACACTAATTTAGCAACTAACGGTCCGACCTAAACACCCTTTCGTTTGCCAGCCTTTACCATAAATGGGTTAATTTAGTTTTATAGCGAGCGAGAGAGCGAGAGTCCGCTTTTTCTGTACAGTCTACGGCCGTTTGATAGTGGGCGTGTCTGTCTGCAGGCAAATATGTTGAAATATGTTTCATATCTAAGTCAGTTTACTGCAACTAGCCCAAGAGTTATGTGTGCATTCATTAAAGGTTTAATAAATGGTTCCAACACCTATGGAAAAATACCTAATACTGGTACAAGTATTGGTGTTTTTCCACTCTACACTTTCTACATCTACCCCACCAGCCTTTTTTTTTTTTTTTTTTTTTTTTTTTAGCAACTTGGGAGAAACAGTTCCGTTATTGTAATGAAGACCTGTTGCTCCAGTTTTAGTGGTACATATATGTGCACACGTCAATCTAAACAAGTGCTCATTTTCTCTGTTTGTGTGTCTATGGCGTAGCAGCATGTAGGATGGCTTGTCTGGTGCAGTGCATTCCTTCATGTAATAAGCTTCTTGTTCAGGGCCCAGGTCTCCCTGCAGTAGGCTATTGGCTGACCAGGGCGCTGCAGAGTCCCAACACAAAGAGGCTCTGTGTTAGCCGGGCTCACAGGCCCCCACAGGAGGAGGCCCTGCCTCACTCCAAATGGGATACATCTCAGTGCTGTTGTCGGCAAGGAACACACCTTTTCACAGGAAGCCTGAGTTTCACCACAGGTGTCCTTTAGTCATTAGTAACACTTAAGCTGTTTGTGGGAATGGGTGATGAAGAACATCTGATGTCTTCACGGCTCAGTTAGCAAGTTGGTTGTTTTAACTGATTCCATCAGCTCATTTCATCATCCAGTGCTCT